TTCTTTTAGTCATTCTTGAATTTGAATTTTGACCATGGTCATTATTTTGTTTTGTCCATTTGTCTATTCCCATTCTGTCCATTCCCATTTTGTCCATTCCCATTCTGTCCATTCCCATTCTGTCCATTCCCATTCTGTCCATGCTCACAACAGTTTTAGCTTCTTTTTTTCCTCTGCAATTTTCAAGATTCAATTATCCAAGGCAATTATTCAGATGTAGATTGGAATCAGTCATCAGATTGCAATCAGTGCTCCTTTAAAGCTCCTTTATAGTTCCTGTATGGTTCCTAACCAAATATTGATCAAATATTAGCCTAAATAACCAAATATAAGCCAAAATTGTTTCATTAGAGTTAGAGCATTACAGTCTTAGACTTTGGACTAGGTTCTTTGATCGTTTTTGATGGTTTTTGATGATTTTTGATCGTTTTTGATAATTTTTGATCGTTTTTGATAGTTTTTGATCATTTTTGATCGTTTTTGATCGTTTTTTGATCAAATCCAGATCGGCCATAGTACCTATTTTGTATTCACCTTAGAACTTCGTCGATTTACTGTATTTTTTCGAGTATGACATGCCCAGAGGAGCGTTTTGTAGTCGTTTTTCGACCTTTGAACCTATTTTGGTCAATTTTTCTAAAAAATCGCTGTTTTAGGAAAAATAGGAAAAAAACATCCGAGAAAAATACGGTAAATACGATAAGTTTCTATTATTGGCTTATTAAACTTGTTTTTTTTTTGGCTTTGGGGAAATGAAATGGGGGGAAATTTTTGGCCGGCTTTAAATGGCTGTGTTTTTTTACAAATTCTAGATTCTGTTAAGCTATTGCAAATCTGTGTTTTCTATCCATTTGATACAGAAAAATGTACCGTAACCCTTCCTAATCTCTACACTCTACTCGTTTGCCTTATTTAGTTTCGTTAGTTTCTTGCATTTCTTGCAAATTCAAAAACGATCCAGTACCGAATCCGTCTAGAGTACGTCTAGAGTAAGTCTAGAGACGTCTAGAGACTAGAGATGTCTAGAGACTAGAGATGTCTAGAGACTAGAGATGTCTAGAGACTAGAGATGTCTAGATGCGTCTAGAGTACGTCTAGAGACGTCTAGATGTGTCTAGAGACTTCTAGATGTGTCTAGAGTACGTCTAGAGACCAGAGACGTCTAGAGTAAGTCTAGAGTACGTGTAGAGACTAGAGACCTCTAGAGAACGTCTAGAGACGTCTAGAGTCCGTTTAGAGACTAGAGACGTCTAGAGAACGTCTACAGTACGTCTACAACTAGACAGCTTTCTTTACAGTTTCAGAGCTGTAAAATAATGATTTAAGTTGGAAAGAGGTGATTGAATCAAAGAAAGGCCATTCCCAGTCTTCTCTACCACTGTTGACTCAAGTCAAAGATATAAGAGGCACATTTTGGTTTTAGAACTCTCAATCCTTTCTCTAAGTGACTCAAGAGGTCCTACCTGGTACGGGTGGGACCTGGTAAACTGAAGAGGACCCGGAAGAAGAAATTTGGGAGGGGTGAATCCTTGAAAAGTCGGGCAGGGATTGTAAGGGAAAGAGCTGGAAAAGGGAAAAGAAAAAGAAAAGTAGAAAAGGGTAAAGGGGTAAAGTTTGTTTTTTCGGCATGAAGGCCTGCAGGGGAGCGTTGCCTGTCCCCCCGCGCAACACAGCCAAACAGCCAAACAGGCAACACAGGCAACACAGGCAACACAAGCAAACACACCGTGCCACCCGCCCCTTTACTCCAAAGTTTTTCTCTTGTTTGGTTTTGATCTGATTTCTGGGATCCTTCTAAAGCTGGCAGTTTGGAGCTGAACTTGGTTACCAAATGGTGAGTGAGCTGAGCAGCAAGAGCTGAGCTTGGTTACCAAATGGTGAGTGAGCTGAGCAGCAAGAGCTGAGCTTGGTTACCAAATGGTGAGTGAGCTGAGCAGCAAGAGCTGAGCTTGGTTACCAAATGGTGAGTGAGCTGAGCAGCAAGAGCTGAGCTTGGTTACCAAATGGTGAGTGAGCTGAGCAGCAATTGAGTGAGCTGAGCTTGGCTACCAAATCGTAACCAAGTTCAGCTCACTCACTCAATTCAGTCCAAGACTTTCAAAGTCTTCTTTTTCTTTTTGCCCATTACTTTATTCATCAATTTTCGTATCATAAACAAAAAACTTTTCTTTTCTTTATCTAATTCCCTTTCTCTTTATCTGATTCATTTCCTCAATTCACCATTTGCATTCAGTTTGTCTCTTTTTTACAGTAATCTAAGAAAATGTCTGTAATGAATTCATGACTCCCAGGGAAATGACTCTCGAATTCCCGAATTCTCGAATTTCCGGTTTTCATTTTGGTTTCTTTTCTTTTCTTTTCTTTACAATTTCTTATAGATTTAAAGATTTCTATCCAGTTGTTTGTTAAAAAGCTGTCTGTCTGTCTGTCTGTCTAATAAGCTGTCTGTCTGTCTAACAAGCTGTCTGTTTGTCTGTCTAAAAAGCTGTCTGTTTGTCTGTCTAAAAAGCTGTCTGTCTATCTGTCTGTCTATCTGTCTGTCTATCTGTCTGTCTATCTCTCTGTCTATCTGTCTGTCTATCTGTCTGTCTATCTGTCTGTCTATCTGTCTGTCTATCTGTCTGTCTATCTGTCTGTCTGTCTAATAAGCTAAGAAAGGCTTGATCTTTGACTTGATCTGGATCTTTGACTTGAATCAAGAGAACGAGACAGATCCTATCAACAAGAAAGATCTCAGCCTTAGATCTTAGCCTAATCCAGGCATATCTTGGCCTGTATTCCTTTATCCTATGGCTAAACCGGACCGGATCCCAGGCTAGGCTAGGCCTAAACCCGTCCAGCTTCATAGCCTAACTCTTGGTCAAACCGGAGCAGTCAAACCGCCATACAGCAAGATCTCAAGCCAAGCAATACATCCAAGCCATGGCTAGCTAGATCAACTGTACAACTGTACAACTGTACAACTACTCGATTGGTTACTTGTCTTAAATCCTTGCCTGACATCCAGATTAGCTAAAAAGCTCAAAAATTTACGCCTACTACTTTCCTGTTCCGTAAAAGAGGCTCGGTTTAATTACGCATTGATTACGTAATTAAATTACGCATAAAGCCAAGCCAAGGATCTAACAGTCAAATAGTATCGCTATATAGGTTAGGGTTAGGTTAGATTAACAAGGACAAGAACAAGAGCAAGAGCAATAACAAGAACAAGAAGAAGATCTTCCAAAGTTTAAAGGCAAAGAGTACCATACAAGTGCCTTCTAACACTAACAGTTTTGATCTCCAGAATTCTCCAGAATCCTAGACAGGTTGACTCCTTGAAATCCCGGGGAAACTTGAATTTCGCGAACAAAAAAAAAACGAATAGGCCAACTCAAATAGAAGAGTTTTTTTTCGAGGAAAATCCTGGGGGTCAGCGTTTTTCAGCCATTTCAGCCATTTCAAACTATTTGCTTTTCGATTCGAGAAGGGAAAAAAGAAAGAAAGAACGGCAAGAAGGCAAAAAGTCGGGAATGAAAAGAAAAAAACGAAAAAATAAGCAAACAAGGCGTTCCAGGTGGTCCGACCCGGCACCGGGTTTTCATGAAAAAAAGGAGAGGAAAGTTTAGAGTGGTGGATTTGGAAGGTGGCATTCAGGGATGGGGATGGGGATGGCCGATGGTCAACTAGAACAGATTCAAGACTGGGTTATAGGATTCGGCGCTTTGATCTAATTTCTGATCAATTCTTTCGGCTTTCGTGCGGCTGATCAGTCTTGATGCAAGCTAAAGTATGATCAGTCTTCTTGTAAGAAAGCCAGCCAGGCTGGAAGGCTGGCTTGGCTGGAAGGCTGGCTTGGTTGGAAGGCTGGCTTGGCTAGAAGGCTGGCTTGGCTGGAAGGCTGGCTTGGCTGGAAGGCTGGCTTGGCTGGAAGGCTGGCTTGGCTAGAAGGCTGGCTTGGCTAGAAGGCTGGCTTGGTTGGAAGGCTGGCTTGGCTGGAAGGCTGGCTTGGCTGGAAGGCTGGCTTGGTTGGAAGGCTGGCTTGGCTAGAAGGCTGGCTTGGTTGGAAGGCTGGCTTGGCTGGAAGGCTGGCTTGGCTGGAAGGCTGGCTTGGTTGGAAGGCTGGCTTGGTTGGAAGGCTGGCTTGGCTGGAAGGCTGGCTTGGCTGGAAGGCTGGCTTGGTTGGAAGGCTGGCTTGGCTGGAAGGCTGGCTTGGCTGGAAGGCTGGCTTGGTTGGAAGGCTGGCTTGGCTGGAAGGCTGGCTTGGCTGGAAGGCTGGCTTGGTTGGAAGGCTGGCTTGGCTGGAAGGCTGGCTTGGCTGGAAGGCTGGCTTGGCTGGAAGGCTGGCTTGGTTGGAAGGCTGGCTTGGCTGGAAGGCTGGCTTGGCTGGAAGGCTGGCTTGGTTGGAAGGCTGGCTTGGTTGGAAGGCTGGCTTGGCTGGAAGGCTGGCTTGGCTGGAAGGCTGGCTTGGTTGGAAGGCTGGCTTGGCTGGAAGGCTGGCTTGGCTGGAAGGCTGGCTTGGTTGGAAGGCTGGCTTGGCTAGAAGGCTGGCTTGGCAATGATCTAGTTTCCAGACATGCCAACCTGCCAATCTCCTAGACGTCACTAGTCACTTAACTAGTATCTCCTAGACTTGTAACTCATAACAACTAGATCTCTTAGACTTATCTCTTAGACAAACCCATCCTAACTACTATCTCTAGACTGAATCTCATCTATTTTCCTCCTGTTTTCACTCTGACACTAACTTTATCACCGAAGCACAGAGCGCGCTTGTTTACAGCTTGTTTTGCTCAAGCTCAATCTCTAATCAAGAGTCGACTGTGTAGATCTCTAATCGTGTAGATCTTGTACGTTCTAAGCCTCAAGAACTAGCTACTTTCTTTTATGAGTTCTTTAAACAGTTCTTTAAACAGCTATTTCACAATTTTCTAAAGAAATTCTTTAACTTTAAGCTTTAACTCTTTCAAATTTCTCTAAAGCTTTTGATTCTTTTTCAGATGAACAACGAAATTCTCCAGATGATCTCGTCTACACCCTCGAAAACCGCTACACAATGCGCAAGTCAAGGCAGAAAGAGAAGACGGGCAGAGGTGAGGGGATCTTTTGAAGTTTGTAGATAGAAATAGATAGGTGATTTATAGATCTATAATTAGATCTATAATTTAGAATATTTAGGTTCCAAACCCAGCAAATACTTTGGATGGATTAGTGCAGAGACGAGTGGAAGAGGGGAAAGGACTCTCGGGGAGATATCTCACAGAGAATGAAGCTATTGAGAGTCCCGAGGATCATCAACAAGTACAGGTGGATTTTGCCGATAGGGTTATAGGTTATTGTAGAGCTGTAGGATTGTAGGCAGTCTTAGGATCGTAGGCAGTCTTAGGATCGTAGGCAGTCTTAGGATTGTAGGCAGTCTTAGAACTGTAGGCATTCTTAGGACTGTAGGCATTCTTAGGACCGTAGGCGATCTCTTAAGACTGTAGGCAATCTCTTAGGACTGTAGGCAGTCTATATAATCCTTCAAATCGTCTTACAGTACTCATAAAATTCCAGCCAGTTCCCACCGGAACCACTAGCGATCCGGATGTCTCAGCTAGAACATGCTCGATTTGTGGATATCAGGTGAATACAGTAGTCCTAGAGTAGACCTGTAGACTCTAAAAGAGCTACAGTAGTCTGTAAAAGACATACAGTAGTCTGTAAAAGTCTCTGAATACTGTAGATCTATAAAATTTCAAAATTTCTAGGGGAAATGGGTTTCCGAGATGATCCGTCATAAAAGAGTACACACGCCAGATCGTCCATTCAAATGCCGATACTGTTCACGGACAAGTAAATGGAAAGCTGACTTGATTCGACACGTTGCAAGTGAGTTTAGCCAAACTAGAAGACTGTAAATGTCAAGAACAGAAGACTCTATCTGTCGTAGCCGATTCTGAATGATTTTTTTTTTGGCAAACCTTTCTAGTAAAGCCATTGAATGAGGACAATATTATATCATTTTGTAGTGAATTCAATTCTGCGTCAATTGTTACCAAATTTGTGAGTTTAAGTTAAAAAATTGCGGGCGCTACAACGTTTCACTGTATATCCACCTGATACCGTACTACTGTAGGTCTACCGTATCCACCTGATACTGTACTGTATACAGTCTATCGATTATGAATGAGTGAGTCTAGAGGCGTCCAACCATCAAGTGTTTGGTATCATTCAACGCGGAATTATTGCTAATTATGTTAAACTTTTTAAATTAGAAAGATTGGATAAAAGGAAAAAAAATTACGGGACTTCAAAGTTTTCTCTCGGACAAACAGCTTTTTTTTCTTTTCTAATTTCTTTTCCTTTTATCTAATCTTTCTAATTTAAAAAATTTAATATAATTATGGATGATTCTGCGTTGAATGATACCAAATACTTGATGTTTGGACGTCCGTAGACCCACTTATTCATGATCGACTACGCTAGACTGTATACAGTACAGTACAGTTCAGTACAGGCATCCAACCATCAAGTATTTGGTATCATTCAACGCAGAATTATTGATAATTATGTTAAATTTTTTAAATTAGAAAGATTAGATAAAAGGAAAAGAAATTAGAGCAAAAAAAAGCTGTTTGTCCGATAGAAAACTTTGAAGTCCCGTAATTTTTTTTCCTTTTATCCAATCTTTCCAATTTAAAAAATTTAATATAATTATGGATGATTCTGCGTTGAATGAGACCAAACACTTGATATTTGGACGCCCGTAGATCCACTTATTCATAATCGACTACGATAGGCTGTATACAGTACAGTACAGTATCAGGTGGATACGGTAGACCTACAGTAGTACGGTATCTACTGTAGGTCCTGCAATTGGTAGTACCCAGTACTGTGGTGTCTACTATCTATACTGTACAGTACTTCTATGTACAACAAGAACTAACAAGTACACTAAGCTACAGTACAAAGGGTTTCTTTAGAAACTCACGGCATCCGCGTTGTCTCAAAGTACAGCCGCTCGAAAGCGTTCGATCCGAAGAAGTCTCCGAATCCGGCGGTTTTCACAGAAACGGTAGTTTTCAAAAGCTATTGTACAAAAGTTTAAAAGCTACAAGCCGTCTTACGGTAGCTAAAGCTTCTGCATAAGCTTTTACTTGTACATAGTACAAAAACTTGTACTTTTCAGCGTGTCACTCTTCCACCACCACTTCCGCAAGCTGTCCCTCAACGACGAATGCTTCAGATCTATGCCTGCAATCGGTAAGTGAGTCGGGAAGAATCGGATTACAATACTTTGACTACAGTGCTTCTGAGTACTCCTGTGTACTCCTGAGTACTCCTGTGTACTCCTGAGTACTCCTGTGTACTCCTGTGTACTCCTGAGGCCTCCTGAGTACTCCTGAGTACTCCTGAGGCCTCCTGAGTACTCCTGTGTCCTCCTGTGTACTCCTGAGTACTTCTGAGTACTCTTGAGGCCTCCTGAGTACTCCTGTGTACTCCTGAGTACTCCTGTGTACTCCTGCTCACAGTACCTCTCACTGATCCCCAAACTTTCAGCTGTCCCTTCGAGACGGAGCACCTCTCCATCTTCCACATTCATTCCAATTCAGCTCATCATCTTTCCCAATATTCTTGTCTTTGTGGACACTCGTTTGAAACGATCGAAATAGCGCAAGAACATTGTCAAAAGAATGGATTCCCAACGGAGCATATGAGTGCAAATTTCACCATCAGATATCAAAGAGGTGAGGAAGAAGAGTTCAAAGTTCAAAGCAGTTCACTCTTTCGATTCAATCTCTCGATTTCAGAAGCCCCATCAGTCTCGACTCTTTCCCCCATCGCTCACTCGGATTCCTCAGCTGATTCGGGTGTTCACAGTGACACTGATGATTCCGAACAAGAGACTTTCCCAGCCTCAACTTTATCTCCAGCCTTCAATGGGATTGGTGAGTTGAAGAGAACTAAAGAGATAATGATCTAAAGAGATTCTAGTGGTTTAGGATTCTATTGGATTAGAATTCTATTGGATTAAAATTCTAGTGGATTAGGATTCTAGTTGTTTAGGATTCTAGTTGTCTAGGATTCAAAATACTCGATTCAATGTTGAATGTTGAATATTCAATATTGAATCTTTTCAGATCCACTATTCCTCTCTTCGCTCTTCCCCTTAATCCCTCTCCCCTCCCCATCCCATCCGATCTCTCCACTCCCACTCTCCTCTCCATCTCCGTTTCTTCTCCCACAATTCGATCTCTCTACATTACTTCTGGCTCTACAGGCTCAAGCACAGGCAAATCTTGGACAAGTGAGTTTAGATGAAAAACTGATAAACTAATTCCTTGTTTTTCTGAAGAAAAGCGGAGTGAGCAGTAGCTGATCTTAAGTGAGCAATAGCTGACCTTTCTGGCCTTCTTATATACAATCTAACTGACCAGATCACAAGAGTTTACGCTAAATACAAGACTTTCCAGATTCCTCTCGTTTCCCCATCAGAAAACTCGGCTTTTTCTCCGGCTAGAGGCAAAAAAATGGTCGAAAAGGAGGCGGATACAAAGTGAGTATAGAGATAGAAGATCTAGCTAATACGGTAATCTAGCTGATACCGTAATCCATAGCTACAGTAACCGAAGTCCAACTTTCCAGGGATATTGGTTGTTCACTGTGTGAGGCGGTGTTCTCCTCGCATTCATCCCTCTCTTCACATCTCTCATTTCACGGATCATCCCGCCCGCATCAGTGTCCAAATTGCAATTATGCGGCTGGGAAAAGGGTGAGTTCAAAGAATAGTAAGCGAATACCGTAACCCATCCGAATAGCAAATACCGTAGCCCATTTCCAGACGAATCTCCACCGTCACACTTCCACTCATCACCGGCAATTCCCGACTCAAATCTTGACCAGTTTACCAGAGATTCCTGAAGAGCAAGAAGAAGAAGAAGAAGAAGAAATGTCTGAAGAGGATCAACAAATTCTTGACGTTGAGCTTTAATTCGAATTCTTATTGATTTATTAGCCTTTTGTCGCTTATTCACTTATTTTCTATATTATTTCCGATAGCGTTTTCTCGTTCTCCTTCTCCTCCTCGCCCTCGTTCTCGTTCCCATTCTCGTTCTCGTTCTCCTTCTCCTTCTCGTTCTCCTTCTCCTTCTCCTCCTCGTTCCCATTCTCGTTCTCGTTCTTGTTCTCCTCCTCGTTCTTGTTCTCCTCCTCGTTCTCCTTCTCCTCCTCGTTCTCCTTCTCCTTCTCCTTCTCCTCCTCGTCCTCGTCCTCGTTCTCCTTCTCCTTCTCCTCCTCCTCCTCCTTCTCCTTCTCCTTCTCGTTCAATTATTTTCTCATTTTCAGGGCTTAGGGTCCAGTTTGATAGTCTTATGTCTTTTAAAATATGTCTTTTTAAATGACTTTTTAAGTTTTATGTCTTTTTAAATATTATTTTCTCGTATTTAAGCAAAGATTACGGTGTTTAGAAGCAATTTTTACGGTTTTCTGGTCATTTTATAGCCGGGTGACGGTAGCATTTCAGGTATTCGAGAATTCGAGAAATTTTCGCATTTTTAGTTTTTTTTTCTATTGTTATCTGCCGCAGTGCGTTCCAGGATTTGCAAAAAACAAAAAAACTTTGAAATCGCTGCGCTAGATGACCAAAATTTACGCGCAAACGAATTTTGTGTGCCTTTTTCGGTTGTTTTCTTGGTCCCAGGTTGTTTTTGCCGGTTTTTATTCTGTATTAATTTGCATATTATGATGATTTGATTGTTTGATGATTGTATGATGATTGTATGATGATTTGCTTTGCTTTAAACAAAGATATCAAAAAACTAATCACAGATTTAGCATGAAAAGTCGAAAAAAAACAAATTTTTGTTAAATTTAGCACTTAGCATTTAGCTAAATACTAAAAGAAAAACTTTGAGCATCAAGCTTTCATTTCATAGAGCTTTCGTAAAGGAAAACATCATGAACTCCAAGAAATTGGTAAAGAACTTCATTCGTCAATTCGTTGAATGTGTGTCTTATCCATTTTGCACCTCTTCCTTTTTCTGGCGATCAGAAACTGTGCCCAGAGTTTCATAACGTTGAATGGTTTAAGAAACGAGGCTTCTGGGGGACATTCAGGCGCTTTGAGATCGGCTTGACCTCCGTCGCGAGCGTCGAGCGTCGGCTTGAGCTCCGTCGGGAGCGTCGAGCGTCGGCTTGAGCTCCGTCGGGAGCGTGGGGAGCGTCGAGCGTCGGTTTGAGCTCCGTCGGGAGCGTCGGGAGCGTCGAGCCTCGGCTTGAGCTCCGTCGGGAGCGTGGGGAGCGTCGAGCGTCGGTTTGAGCTCCGTCGGGAGCGTCGGGAGCGTCGAGCCTCGGCTTGAGCTCCGTCGGGAGCGTCGAGCGTCGGCTTGAGCTTCGCCGGGAGCGTCGAGCGTCGGTTTGAGCTCCGTCGGGAGCGTCGGGAGCGTCGAGCCTCGGCTTGAGCTCCGTCGGGAGCGTGGGGAGCGTCGAGCGTCGGTTTGAGCTCCGTCGGGAGCGTGGGGAGCGTCGGCTTGAGCTTCGCCGGGAGCGTCGAGCGTCGGCTTGAGCTCCGTCGGGAGCGTCGAGCGTCGGCTTGAGCTGCCGACAATCAAGGATCAATTGTCGATGTGGAGAAACTTTCCCCATGGCTGAAAACAAGGATACTAATGTATTGAAAGTTAGTAATCATACCATAAAATAAGAAAAATACACAAAAACTATAAAAATAGGTAAACAAAAAATTAAATGGGGCTCATAACATAATACGATGTTGTTGCGGTAATTCTTGGTCACCTGCCAGTAAGCTATGACCTGCAAGTCTTGGTCTTGGTTTTGGTCGCCCAGACGAATGGATGCAATCATTAAAGATTGTCCAACAAAATATTGAATTCTTCTTTTTTCCACCATTGTCCAGAGTGCGTCATAATTATTGCAACAAGATACTCAAGGCATTGCACACCAAGAAGTTTCACTGGAAGAAGATTTTTTTAAACAGAAATAGCTTTATCTAACAGTAACAAATAAGGAAACAAGAGATCATTCGATATGGCCGCCTTTTGCCTTGATAACAGCCTTGATAACAGCCTTGATAACAGCCTTGATAACAGCCCTTAATCAGTTCGGATATGCCTTCACTGCGACCCGAATGTCATCTTGAGGAATCGCCTTCCATCCTTTGGTCAAAGACTTCTTCAAGGTCAAAGACTTCTTCAAGGTCAAAGACTTCTTCAAGGTCAAAGACTTCTTCAAGGTCAAAGACTTCTTCAAGGTCAAGGAGCAGACATTAGCCTCTAAGATTGCCCAAATGGAAAAGTCCATCACATTGAGATCCGATGAGTTTGGAGGCCATTCATCCTTGGATCCATTCATCCTTGGATCCATTCATCCTTGGATCCATTCATCCTTGGACTGAGGGAAAGTTGATCACACACCAGTCCTGAACCGTCTTCTTCGTGTGAGCGGGAGCTCCATCTTGCATGAAGGTCCAATTTTGATTGTTATTGGCTTTACACACCCATGACATCACATTCTTCTTTAAAACTTTGAACGGTCTTTGAACTCTTGTTGCAATAATTATGACGCACCACTGTAATTATTACATAGATTGAGCCTAGCATTTTCATTTGTTTATTGGGCTGCTTGTGGCAATCGATTTGGGGAAACTCGATTTGGAAAAGACTCGGCTTCTCTCCAACTTCTCTTTCACCTGTTTTTTCATCTATCGCATTGCCATTTTGTTTCATTTTGGTTTTGTTTTTCTGAATGAAACTTCAACTTATGATATCGATCAACATCTCGGCAGCTAATGAGGATCAAATTGTGCAATTCGTTTTCCTCGGCTATGGAGTAGAGTTTGTGATCTATTTGATTTGTTATTTCACGATCCCAATGTTGCATTGGTTCTGGAAGGAGAGAAAGGTTTGATTCGATTTGAGAAAGATCTTCTATACATAATGATTTCGATGCTTCACCCAAACATCCAAACGCTCTTCTTGGCCTCTCTTTACAATGTGTATCCGTTTTCGATGGCTCGACTGATCTACATCTATTATCAGATCCCTGTGACTTGTGAAGTTCAAGCAGAGAGTGAGATTGAGCAATAGTTTTGAGAGACTAAAGGACTAGAGAGCTAAAGAACTAGAGATCTAGAGATCTAAAGAACTAGAGATCTAAAGAACTAGAGATCTAAAGCTCTAGATCTCTAGATCTAGATCTCTAGATCTCTAGAAACCATACCAAATCTGATTCAACCGATTCAGCATGGAACTCTTGCTTGATCCCAATCATTTTCTCTTCATCCTTTTGCATTTTCGTATGGACGGCGAATGCAAGTTAGTGGGCTTTTTTGCAGAACATCATCAGCCGATTGCTAGAAATTTGCATAGTTTTAGCCGTTCTTTCGATTCTTCTACTCGAGCGAATCATCGCCATCATCCTCGTCGACACCTACGAGAAGAAATATTATCATAAAGAGTTGAAAGCCCTACTCGTTTTCCCCTTTCTTGTCGCAGCTTTTTTCGCAAATCTCTACACCTTTGGCTAGTTTTGAGGCTCTAGCTCTAGAGCCTGAGGCTCAGCTCTAGCTCAGGCTCAGGCTCAGGCTCTAGCTCAGGCTCTAGCTCAGGCTCTAGCTCAGGCTCAGGCTCTAGCTCAGGCTCTAGCTCTTTTAAACGGCGCTCACAATGAAGAGAATTTTCAGGTCTCATCTCAAAAATGATCACTGCGACTTTTGTAGTCTTTATCATCGTTATCGGTGGAATTGTAAGTGTGATATCGACTTCTAAAAATGCATTCATTTGTCTAGCTAGTCGGTTTTATGATCTCGATAAATGAGAGAAAAATTCGAAAGCGATACTCGTCGAATTACACCCTATCGAGGAGATATCAGCTGACAGAAAACGCGAAATCGATGCAGGTTAGATAGAAGATCGAGAAGAAAGCCTACTTTTAACATTTAACATTAACATTAACTCAAAAAGGGTTGGTTGTAAGGATTGGTTGTAAGGATTGGTTGTAAGGGTTGGTTGCAAGGATTGGTTGTAAAGATTGGTTGTAAGGATTGGTTGTAAGGATTGGTTGCAAGGATTGGTTGTAAGGACTGGTTGTAAGGGTTGGTTGTAAGGATTGGTTGCAAGGATTGGTTGTAAGGATTGGTTGTAAGGATTGGTTGTAAGCATTGCTTGTAAGGATTGCTTCAAATGATTTCTTGTAAAGACCTCTTTCATAAAAATGTTTATTCGTTATTTTGAAACTTGAATTTTTCAGCTATTTTACGATAGAATTCTTTCAATTTTTGCTAATATTAAACGAGTAGAATAAACGCTAATAATCTAGTATCTAATAATATAAACAGCATGGAGAAATACAGATTTTACGTCATACAAATGTCATTACTATTCCAGCTATTCCAGCTGCTCGTTTCTAGCTGATTCACCACAAAAAGGGCTCAGAATTTTTAATTACATTGCTAAATGAGTTAAACTTCTTTCCAAACATAAACTCCTTTCTAGATGCTAACTCGATTAATGGGTTTCCTCGTCATTTCCACTTTTGTCTATGGAACGCTTTTCTACCTGAATTCCACGTTGAGCTACAGTTGGAAAACGAGAAACATTTCTGGTATCGGTCTCGGATTCGCCGAGGGATTGTATGTCTCTCTGTTCAAGTTGTTCTTCAAAAGAGTTAAGAAACACCTTAGTCCAGACGATCTACTTTTTGATTGGCACCCGGGAACTTCGTCATCATCTATTGAAGGCTCTTGGAAAGAGGTTTCAACTAAACAGGTGCAGATGTTGATAAACCTTGATCGATTCATCAACCTTGATTGGTTTCTCTTATCAATAGATCAATAGACAGAGATCAATAGACACTAAAAAAATCTACCGTTAATCTTCTATTAGAATGACATGTCATTCTATTGAAAGTTCTCATACTAATAGAAGAAATACGGTCTCACAGAATCCCCTCTGTTCAAACAATCTTCTCAGTCTAGTCTAAGGATTTAGAGCAAACATTTGGCAACTATATTACTGGAATTACTATATTACTATTTGCTGAATAGATATAAAAGCGCATTGCAGAACGAGTGTGATCAACGAAACTCCACAAATGTCAGCTCGAGTCGTCGATGTTCGCGGGAAAGTGGGGATCATTGAGGAATCATTGAGGAATCTTTGAGGAATCTTTGAGGAATCTTTGAGGAATCTTTGAGGAATATTGAGAAATATTGAGGAATCATTGAGGAATATTGAGGAATCATTGAGGAATCATTGAGGAATCATTGAGGAATCATTGAGGAATATTGAGGAATCATTGAGGAATATTGAGGAATATTGAGGAATATTGAGGAATCATTGAGGAATCTTTGAAGAATCATTGAGGAATCATTGAGGAATCATTGAGGAATATTGAGGAATCATTGAGGAATCTTTGAGGAATCTTTGAGGAATCTTTGAGGAATCTTTGGGAATATTGAGGAATATTGAGGAATCTTTGAGGAATCATTGAGGAATCTTTGAGGAATCTTTGGGAATATTGAGGAATCATTGAGGAATCATTGAGGAATCATTGAGGAATATTGAGGAATCTTTGAGGAATCTTTGAGGAATCTTTGAGAAATCATTTGACAATCTTTTCAGTGAAAAAGAGCGAGAACTCTTGAAAAAAGGGTCCTTTTGGTCACCCTCTATCTATTAGGTTGATGCATAAGTCTTTTTGTTCCTTTTCGTCTGCCGTTTCAAGCCAACAAATGCACCAATTAAACTACGGTTGATTTCATTAGAAAAACCAATTATTTTTCTGCAAAATAACATTAAAACGGGTTTAAAAATATTTTATGCCTGGATTTTCTTGAGAGTATGAAGTCGGGTAGTCAAAAAGGGCTAACTCGATGATGCGGTTTAGACACCTTAGCTAAAGAAAACCTATCTTCGTGTCAATAGATAAAAGATAGAGAAAAAAAAAGTTTGATATTTCGCCAAAATTTCAGAGAAATTCATTCAGCCAATTTTTCCGTAGAGTTTTTTATAGATTTTTACGAAAAAGGCGTTTTTCACTCTCGAATTTGCTTGAAAGTGAACCGAAATTCATTTAAAAAGATGGAAACTGAACCAAAAAACCCTTTTTTTATAGAGCAAACTATAGATTAATTCGTGAATTTGTTACTTTTTAACAGAAGTACGAAAAAAACGAAAAGACTTATGCATCAACCTAATATTTAGAAGTTAAATCGTTAAACTTGACTTAAACTAAAGAATAAGTCTACTTAAGCATATCCAAATCCTTACCTTGTTTGGTCGATCAATCAGATTCCTTTCCATTTCTTCTCGTTGTTGTTGAGCGCTGGGAACGTCTCGATTCAGCTCAGGTTCGGTAATGTTTGCTGAAGGTGGCGTGGAGCGAGAGGTCGATGTTTTAGCTCCGGAACCCTGAATTTGAAATGACCGTAAAGCAAAGTTTCACCAGGTCCAAAAGAAGTACGAAAAACATTTCAGCTGCTACAGAAGCTACTAACAGAAGTACGAAAAAAACGAAAAGACTTATGCATCAACCTAATATAAAAGAGAAATTCCTTATCAAGTCAAGAGATCAATTCATTGGTACTTGTGGAGTATCCGGGGGTCTTTCAATATCCGGGGGGGTAAAATTTTAAGATCCGGGGGGGTAAAATTTTATATACGTTATACACGACCCCTTTTAAAGATATTCAGCCGCTTAAGTGATTTGGTGGCAATTTCCCTTCAAATGTAAAGATATTCAATTTATTCGAGGTGATTACTTGATTACGTGATTCGAGGTGATACTCGATCAAAAAACGTAACTTCTACGAAATTTTTTTATGTCATTATTAGAAATGTTGATAATATCCTAGTTGGCGGCAAACATTTTCACACTAAATTGATGAAATTCTATTTAAAACGCTAAAATTAACGCAAAATGATATAAGTTTAAAGGTTTAAGTTTAAGGGTTTAACAAAAGGTTAAACATTTGCCTCAAGAATTTTATTTTTAGTTACAAAGCCTATGTAAATGTAAAAGTAAATGTAAAATTTCACGGAATTTGCGTTAATCTATTGATCTTTAGACCATTAATCAGATCATGAGCAATATTTTCGTTCTTCTTTTAAACTCTGAAAGCGATAGGTGCAAAAGATTGATAAAAGTAGCAGAATGGTCAAAAAGTAAAAAAAAAAGTATAAAAAAGTTAAAATTTTGCCCCCCCGGATCTTAAAATTTTACCCCCCCGGATATTGAAAGACCCCCCCCCGGATACTCCACAAGTACCAATTCATTTGCATGTAAAATAGGAGAGCACCGAATTTTACACTTAAGTTGAATCCGAAATTGTATCCGTAGTATCCGAAATTGAAATATTCACAAGGGAAGAATGTCCCCCGTGGCCTTTTCCGATGATATATAGACCATTCGGCGCAGAATTTTACGCTGATTCCAATGATGTGAAAATTAGCTACCGAATGGCGCGTAATCACCGCCAAACTGGCATTGAGGTTTTGAGCCTCTCGTTTTAAGCCGATTTTTTTCGACACAACCGTGCATCGGTGGCCGATGGGTTGCATTGGCGTTCATTTGATTACGGCGCTCCTTTAAGCGGCGCTCCTTTAAGCGGCGCTCCTTTAAGCGGCGCTCCTTTAAGCGGCGCTCCTTTAAGCGGCGCTCCTTTAAGCGGCGCTCCTTTAAGCGGCGCTCCTTTAAGCGGCGCTCCTTTAAGCGGCGCTCCTTTAAGCGGCGCTCCTTTAAGCGGCGCTCCTTTAAGCGGCGCTCCTTTTAAGCGGCGCTCCTTTAAGCGGCGCTCCTTTAAGCGGCGCTCCTTTAAGCGGCGCTCCTTTAAGCGGCGCTCCTTTAAGCGGCGCTCCTTTAAGCGGCGCCTCAGAAAATCTTTTGTCTTTTCAGACTCTCTACACCGGCAGCAATCAGAATGATTATTTCGCTCAACTGGTGACTCAATGGGAATCGTGAGAAACAATGAACACATCAAACTTTGATTATCTAGGCTATACAAATAAACATTTCTAATCACGTATTTGACGTAAAATTTTTTAAAAATAGTGATCATTATAATTGTTTTTTTTAGTTTTCTCATTTTAAAATCACTAAAGATTCAGAAAAACTGTGATTTAGTTATATGCTTCTGGATGGACTGATGATTATTCTTCCTGATTTAGTTATATGCTTGCTGCTACTCCGATTTCGAAGCTCGGCTACAGAATCTGGGCATTAAAGGCAATGGTGGTGTTGAAAGAGGAACTGGTATTGGCTGGTATTGGCTTTGTTAAGCTGGTGAACCGTAGAAACTCTAGATTACCCTAGAAAAAGTAAAAAAAATGCAAAAAACATGTCCCTCTCCTTAAAACGAACCCGCATTCTCGTCCAAACTCTCAATCAACACTTTCACATCACATCGAATCGTGTTATCACAGACGATATCACGGAAATCCATCAAATCCATTAAATCACATCAAACCCCGTCTCGAGCGTTGCCTAAATTCCTCGAGATCTCGAGAACCGCTTATCAGAACCTATCGATGTGGGGTCGGAAAATGTAGCTGACGATGTGATCTTGACGATGATTAGAGAGTTGAGCTTCTGTGAAAACTCAGAAACCATAAAATAGTCACCAACTCGGCTCATCGGGGTGCACTACTATTAGAGAAAATACGGTATCATCGACACAAAGTCATGTTGTCTTGCTGGTGGATATATGAAATATCAACGGGCTTATCTATTACGTTATTAAAGTCTGTAAAAACCTCAAGCCTCAAGCCTTAGCTCTCCATTTCCTATGTTCTTTTGCTGTTTGTATAACTTATTTTTGTAATTTTTATTTCTTTACTTCAAAAACAAGTATTAGCAAAAGCAAAGCAAAACGCTGAAAAATAAAGTAAAGATTCGGTTCCTTATCTCACTAAATTCGGTTCCTTATCTCTTCAAATTTGGGTAAAGATAAACGGCATTAATCGCAATGACAATTCAATCAAATCAGGGACAGAATTTGGGTATTGCAATACAATATATTGTCCAAGACGATAACCTAGAACAAGAGACATTCAGTTAGTTTATATAGCATCTAGAATCTTGTTATATAGCATTGGTTTTTATCCGATTGGCTCAATCTCAAGTATCCGATTGACTGAATGACTTCACACTTATAGAAAAGAGAAAATTTGAATCAGAATCTCTGAGCTGGTACTATCTGGTGGAAAGTCTTCTTTTAAACAAGGCTTGTTAAGGCTAAATAAGGAAGCTTTTTTTGCTTGTAGCAAAAAAAAGCTGCCTTTGCTTTGCAGGTTTTTTTTGTTTCGGATTTATTGATTCAATTCCAAGAATTATTGATTCAATTTATTGATTTATTGAATCAATAAATCAATAAATCAATTTATTGATTTATTGATTCAATTCCAAGTCAATAACGTCAAATAGCGCGATAGAACTAGAAAATGATCATAAAGCGCAAAAAAAGTATTCATCGTATTTGATTGACGCTGACTTCTCATTGTTGATCTCATTGTTGATCTTTTCACAGGCCTCGACGAAGCTTTTTCTCATTGCCTTCGTATCCGAGAAGCTAAAATTACAGATTGACAAAAGATTACGTTAAAAATAGAAGATAATAGGTACTAGAATAGGTACTATAATAGGTAATAAACTTCGCGGAAACCCCTTTAACTCGATTCGGTCAGATTGTATCTTTTGATTTGTTTTGTTGATATTGTTTTGACTGTTTTACCAACGTTATTTTACTTTTTCCGGGGTAATCAAGCATGATGAATCTATTTTTAATATTTTTAGACCAATTCTGAACAATTTTTTATTGATATTTTAATAAGCTAGCTGAAGATTTACTTCTGTAGTGTTGCTTAGCTTAAAAATGAAGAGAGAAGCAAAATACAAAGGGATAATTTGTTCAAAAGATTCTAAAAATATCATCAATCGATGCTTAAGAAGAATAAGTATTTGATTACCCCAGGAAACGTAAAACAAGATTAGAAAACACGTCTAGAATCAGGGTCTGACCAAGTCTGATCGAAGTGCCTCCACGAAGTTTATTAGCACCAGATAATGAAATCTAATAAATCTCTGAACCTGCAAGACATTGTGGACTTCATTGGTAACTTTGTCGAGCTTTTTCTCCAAACGAATGAGCCGGGTGTCGGCTT